GCAGCATAAATGATGAAAGTGGCCAGAGGAGCGAAATGATGTGAAAAAAGTGCACGTCAAACGATCACGTCAAACGATCAGCAACCGTGAAATCACTGGCAAAACCGTGCAGTAAAAGCTGAAGTTGCGAGATCACGAGAGCTCAGTGTGGACTACATGAAAAGTGAGACGGTCGTGGGAGCTGTAGAGAGAGAAGCGAGTCTGCCGCTGAGGGACCGTCTGCAAGTTGCACCGCTTGAACAATCACGTCTTCAGTTTGATGAACTGATCCCTTGCTATCTTTAGATGTGTGTTGTGAGAAGATAGTTTCTTTTGATCTCTGGCATCGCGACTGATGCATTCAGTATTTTTATTTATTTATTTATTTAATATTTTAAGAAAAAAATAAAAATGAATAGCATTTTTGGGATTTATCATTAAAATGATGTTCACTAACATGAGATGAAGACTCTAGTCATAAATATTTTATAAAAAAACAGTCAATTTTTTTTACATGGAGAGGGCCGCCCCTTCATGGGCGCCACCATGTTAATATAAAATGACCGGCCATGTACCAGCACAAAACACCAATAATAAATGAAAATTTGTTATGAATTAATCAAATTTTTACAGTATGACACAAACAAACAGTTTTGGTGTAAAACCACAGCAGTTAGTGGTACATAAACTTGCATGCATGCAGGCCAATAGGTGTCAGTATATCTAAATCTAAATCTACTATTGAGACAAATATAAATAGATTGATGTTAACAAAGGCTGCCTCCAAATATACATACTACCCCACTATATAGAAGGTGAAAAAGAGTATCTAAAAGGAGCAGTGTGTCTAAATTTACAGTATTTATAAAAAGTAGACAGAAAGCATCTGCAATACTTCTGGCGAGATTCTAACCAGTGTATCCTTTACTATCTATCCCATGAGGCAATGGAAGAGAAGTTTTAATGGCTGAGTAGCAACGCTGGAATTGTAGGCCACATGACAATGTCAACAAGACAAATGTAGTAGCCTACATCTGTATTACATAATACATGCATTCATCATACTATATAAAATGTGCCTTTTATTTTGGACACAGCTCAAAACACTTCTATAAGCAAAAATCAAGTGGGGAAAAAAATTTGATATTTTTTAAATTATGTCCACAGAAGTAAACATGAACACTCATATATGTTCAACTTAATCATTAAAGTCATTAGAAATTGATTTTCATTAATGGTTACAGGCCTAAAAATAGTTACAGGATTAAAGGCCTGAATTTGACTAGTTCTAGTGAGACAAGTGAAAAAATAAAATGTATCATTGTCTGCATGGAATGATTATGGTATCCCTACAGTTTAAATGGATAGTTCATACAAAACATTAATTGTGTCATCATTTACTCATATGTCATTCAAAATCTGTATGACTTTCTTCCTTCTGTGAAACACCAGTCATCATCAGTGTTTTTTGTCCACACAATGGAAGTCAAAGGTCACCAAAACTGTTTGGTTACCAGAATTCTTTAAAATGTTATGTTCTGCAGAAGAAAGAAAAAAAAAAAGAAAAAAAGAAATTATATATATATGTGTGTGTGTGTGTGTGTGTTCTTTCGTGATTCACAGAACAAAGAAAGTCATACAGGTTTGGAAGAACATGAGGGTGCGTAAATGATGACAGAATTTTCTTCGGGGTTGGACTACTCCTTTAATGCTTGCTTGGTCTGTCAAGTCTTTGTTCGTACTGTCTGTGCCCTTGAGGTGATGCTTCCTCAGCATGACAAACAGCCATCAGAGCCTGTCCACATCCTGTTTACCCCATCACAAAAGACTAAGTTCTCTATCTTTCTATCTCTCTCACACAACTTATATGGCCACCAAACCACCAGACTCCACCAAATGAATGGGCAAAAACGTAAAGGGTAAGAATGACTCGTTAGCCTGGTTTGAATCAGTATTACCCCGCAGGAGTTTTTCAGCCCCAGGCATTTCATAGCTGTCTGACATTTGAGAGGTGTCAGTAACCTCTGGTTCTGCTTTACTTGGCTTGAGCTCTGCCCACACTAACTGTACATAGAAGCCTAATAGAGTTTCCACTGCATGCTTTGACATAATTAAAAAATTTGTGCTTTACCAGTAACTTAAATGAATATAGGTGACACAAAGTTAATATCATCAATAGATTACTTATTTGATCACAACTACAAAACATGTTAATTACACTGCATTCGTTCTGTGAGACTGAGCGCCATCTTGTGGCAACATCGAACACAAACGTTGTAAAAAAACAAAACAAAACAAAAAACACGATTAAATATTTAACAAATAAAAGATATTAAATATTTAAAACAAATAAACAGATGTTTTAGCCGACAGTTACAGCATAATTCTCTTTTAAGCACGTGCTTTCCCGCCTTAATTCGAGCGCACGTGATAGACGCAACTGTTGAACAGACGTTCAATATGACGTGATAAAGAGAATGGAGAATCGAATCTTAAAAGTTTCAGGGTTATCTTTTTATCTTTACCCTTTTTATCTTTACCTTCTCATATCTTTTGAACACAGCTACTAAGGTAAGACCCATATATTCTTGTTTTTGAATGATAAGTGAAAATACATATTTTTCTTTCCACGGTCCTAAGTGCAACATGCCAGTTTGGAACGTACAGTTCTAGTCAAAAGTATATACTTTACCGTATCTGCAAAATGCATGGTGTTTTTTTATTTAGTACTGACCTGAATAAGATATTTCACATAAAATACGTTTACATAGTCCACAACAGAAAATAATAATTGAATTTATAAAAATGAAGAACCCATTCAAAAGTTTACATACACTTGATTCTTAATCCATGGATCATCCAGGTAACAGCACACTATGCAGAATGCAGATACTGCAAAGTGTTGGTAAACTTTTGACCACTACTGTCAATATTCAGGTGCGCTATAGATATGTGCATTAAAATAATTAGATAAACAAACAAAAATACCCAGTAATAATTAAATCAATTGATTCATTAATTTAAATAATAAATGTAATAATTTAATCCATGTGTACTATGGATGTGTATAAAAATTTAATAATTAAAAATAAATAAATAATGTAAAAAAAGAATCATCTTATTAATTTAATTCAGACGTGCTAAGGATGTGTGCTGCTATATGAATATATAAATCACTATATCAATAAATAAATAAAAATAATTAAAAATTATATATATATATATATATATATATAGTATATTCATATTATTATATGAATTATATATTTATTATATATATTATTATCATATTATTATTCATATATGGGCTTACAGATTCTCATTCTGGATATTTTCTGGCAGCTTTTGCTGATCACTGCTCTTCTTCAATGTCAAAAGTCACAATGGGTCATTCAGCACTTTGGCTGGTGTTGTTGCACTGGATGTTCCTGCACTCCCCAAGCAGTTGTAACAATTTAACCAAAGCCGAACTGCAAGAACTGGAGAAGATCAGCACCTGGGTCATCACCCGCAGCTTTCCCTGCAGTGCCACCTGCGGGCTTGGCCTCCACACTCAAGAGCTCTGCCCTACTGGGGGAAACCGAAACATCTCCAGCACTTCCTGCAAGATGAGGACCATCCGCTGCTTAGACACCTGGCAGTGTGGACTGAAGACCCAAACGGCAACTGCTGGTCAGCGTCTGGTGCTAGACTGCTTAGAGGAAGTGATGGAAGCCATGGGCCGCTTTGCATTTGTGGTGTCTTGGCGCTTTGCCCATGGAATCATCACATCTGATGACTCGTTATTCAGCCGCTATGAAGCCCTGAGCCTGGACAAGATGGTGCTAGACCCCCTCGGAGAAGAGGATTCTGGGACATACCGCTGTGACGTACTGGACACCGGCAAACGAAGAGTGAAGAGAATGTATAAAGGGGTGAAAGTGTTATCACCCAAAGAAGTGAGTTTAGACTTTGCCAAAGGTCTGATTCACTGGGAAAACCCAGAGAGCCTGTTTCCTAACATGACGACCACAGGAAACCCGTATCCCAGCAGCATTGTCCGAAACATGGCGCTGATAAGCGTGTTCATATCTGCTGCAATGGCGGCACTCATCCTTCTGCTCTTGAGGGGTTTCTACCAGATAACACTAAGAAGAACAGCTCAACTTTCCCAGAACAATGTTTGAAAACGTTTCAAAGATTAAAAAGTCAAATTAATAGCCCATATTCCTTAGTCACTGATGAATAGAAGTGTTAAAAATGAGTTTGACCAAGTCACAAATGCGTGGGATTGAAAAACATGCTCAAACTATCGGTGTACTATTTATAGAGCGGAGCTGTTAATGAACTGTTTAGAAAAAAGGTTCACATTCACATTTGTGTTAAAAAGGTCAAACAGTTCACTTCATCAACAATGGGTCAAGTATAGTCACAGGTTCCTAATTTGGATGCCAGCAAACAATGCTTAAAAATATTCCTTAAAGGGATAGTTCGCCAAAAATAAAAATTGTCATCACTTGCTCACCCTCAAAAGTTGTTCCAAACGTACACGAGTTTCTTTCTTCTGTTGAGCACAAAAGAAGATATTTTGAAGAATGTTGGTAACCAAACAGTTGACGGTAGCCATTGACTTGATTACCAACAGTATTCAAAATATCTTTTTTTGTGTATAACAGAAGAAACTCCTACAGGTTTGGAACAACTTGAGGGTGAGTAAATGATGACCGAATTATCATTTTTGGGTGAACTATCCCTTTAACTTGTACTTAAAGCAGCCTTACTTTAAAACAATCACATACATTATAACAGCGGTTGATAATTCAATTGACAAAAGATAATTAACCATGACGATTTTCAGATTAAAATACATTTTTAGCACGGTATGTTCTTCAATTAAAAAAAATATTTAAAAAAAAGCAATAAAAAGGTCTAAATAAAAGATAGATAGATAATCACATTTAACATGCCTTTATAGTGACTTTTCTGAAATACATAAATTTCAAGAACTGTATGTTCTTTAATAAAAACAACAATTGTTGAGGGGACTTTTTTTTATTCAAAATGTATAATATATGTTTTAAGGTACAAAATGTTCCTATGTAAGAGGAACAGAAGAGCCTCATACTCATTTAAATGAACTGGTATTTTATTCAGGATGTTTAACAGGTCAAAGTGTGCCCACACCTCAAAAACAAACTCTCCATCAAACAAATAAACCAGTGAAAGGTGCTCTGTGAGCGCAGGAAAAATCCACAAACACTCTACAACTCAAACTTAAGGCAGAGAGAGGACAAACGTCCACCCCCCACAGCAGAATGTGACATCAGTGAAAACTGGAACCATGTTCAAAACCATTCAGAAGCAGGAGTGCTGTTCCTCCATCAGCACTGGATTAACAGCAACAAATCTGAGATCTCCTGCACCGATAGTTTGTGAGCACTAGTGCCAGTGTGAATAAACTCCTTTATACACATTGGTGTAATTATTTCTTTAGCTCTAAGCAAGTAAATATAGACCCCAAAAATCTTAAGACTAGTCTATATCTGGTTAGGTGAAAAAAGTTGCAGAAAGAATTACAAACTCTTACGGGCAAACAGTCTTTCAGTGTGTATTTAACAACTTGACGTGTGTGTGTGTGTATTTTAAATATACACATGACATCACAACTAGCAAAAGGTGCATTGTTAATCTTTGAGAAGAGAGAGAAAAAAAAAGAGTCCTTTTCTCATTCAAAGAGAGTATCCTCACATTAGGACAAGGATGCAAGCAAGAAACCCACATAAAAATAGGTGAGATTTAAAAAAAAGACACTATCATTATGACACGCTGGTTTCATGATCATTTTCAGCATGTGCGATACAGCAACAAGAGATACAAAGCAGCCCAGCCTGTGATCTGCTACTTGTAGACAGTGTATAATTTCATCAAGCCATCTTTCATAAGCGATAACCATGAAATCACCCTCACATATTCCCATTCAATGATAGTAGAACAAGTGAAACAAATAAACAAAGCAGCACAAAGAAAATCAAAATACTAATTCTCAAACTCATTCATAGCTCTTTTGACTTGTCCAGCACACAAAAACATGCAACAGGCCGACTCTCAGACAGCATGAAAATCTCCAGCCACTATTATATATTAAAAAATAATAATAATAATACACATCCAGACCTAAGACGGTCACATATTGCTCGAAGGATAAAAACACCATTCAATCACGATTTCATGCTACTTCTATTTGTAGCATTCTGGGATACAGTAATCTGTTATCTGTGACAACATTTCTCTAGCAGTATATTGTGTTCAACAGCTGCTCAGCTAGAGATCTAACAAGCAATTCCATATACAAAACCTTTGTCATGCCGTGTAGTCGCCAAATCATTCACTTAAGCATTTAGGTGAATCTCAGATCATTCCAGGGCAGCCAATCCTAAATGAATGCAACTTCTAGAAGCCTCTTTGAATCTTCAAGATACATTCAATTTGGTCACAGAAAGAAGACATATGGGTCCCGATTGTAGAAATATGACTCAGTCATTCACTGTCTGGAATCCCACACACTTCTGAAAATCATACTTGCACCTTTGTTTGATTTTTACAAAGTCAGCCCTCACAAGCAACATGCTGATACAAGCAGCTTCCAATAACGCAGACTGATTGGAACCATTATGGAATGAATATTTTGCTACAAGTTTATACGTTAACAGCTTAAGAATTAATGCTGTATGAAAGCCAAAGCATCCACGATCAAACAACATCGAGAGTCAAGCCCATAAAGCCGATCAAAAGTGGCGCCTCTTTGGTAATATAAAAATTTTGCATTGAACATTTCATCCCCATATTAAAATGGAAGACTCAATCAAATTCAAATCCCTGAATAGTGTTGTTATTCTCCTCAAGATGCAAAAAATGTGGCTTTGTTCCCCAAACATCAGCAACATGCCCCTTTATTAAGAAAAACAACAGCATTAGCACCAAGCAACTTCTGAATCAGTCAGTGGCTAAAACAACCCATTAAATAAAAAACAAACGCTGGTCCGTTTGCTAGAGTTTGCTTGGTCTTTGACATCAGCTGGTAAAGTTTCCTGGTATGGTGATGAACAATTTGGTTTGATTGGCAAATGCATTCATGATGTTTCTGCTGGTGTATAAGAAGGATCCGAATGTAAGGCAACATCTGCAGCTCTCGGGGTTTGTGTGAATCACATTCAGATCAGACAGACTTACGAAGCCCCATGTTTTCCAGTGTCGCTGAGATCTTGGATGGTGAGCGCAACACAATTTTTAAAAATGTTAAAGGAAAAGAAGCCCTTAGATAAAGCTTTGAACGTGTCTTTCTATGAATTGAGTGTGGGTGAAGTCCACATCCATAAATGGGTGAGTCAAAACAGGAAACGGATGATGTAGGATCCTTCAGAAGCGAGGAGGAGCAATGGAGAATATCTCCTTATGGAAAAACAACCATTGAAAGAGTGCAGCAAGTTATCAAGTCCTATCGAAGCCTATCTCTTCCCAGTTTTCATGTACGATGGGATGCCTCCTCGTGCGGTCAGCCCCTCAAAGCGCTTGTAGGTGTAGTTGATGAACACCCAGTCTTTACTCTTCAGATCTGCCTCAGTGTGGTTGGACACAGGAGCGACTTGAGAGAAAGAGAGTGAGAATAAGATGTTTTGAAATACATAAAAGCCATAAAAAATGTCATGTATTTTAGAAAGCGTTACAACTAACTAAAAACAAACCTGAAGGCTGGAGGATGTCTGAATCAGGAAACTCGTCAAAGTTGGAGGTGTCGTCAATGCTTTTGATCTCAATCGGAATAGCCGCTGGTCTCTCCCTAGCGGAAAAAAATTGAGGCGCAAATCAGCATATTGGAATGATTTCTGAAAGATCATGTGACACTGAAGACTAAAATAAATGCAGTCTTGGTGAGAAGAGACTTTTCAAAAAACATAAAAATCTTACTGACCCCAAACTTTTGAATGATAGCACAAATATGTTTGGTGTGCAAATGTCAGGCATAGAGTAGCTATATAACCTAGATTTGCCTAAATAAGCAGTATCCAGATTTAAAGAGCACACTGCAATGTGCTCTACTTGAGCTTCCAATTGTCGCATGATGAATGAACCAGCAGTAATACAAGCCCCAAAATTACTATATTTTATTCCTATCTGATTATTTGACCCAAGTCATTTTTGAACAAAACTGGATTAAAATTGAAAAAATAAATAAACAAATCATTAAAAAACTAAATAAATAAAAAACACTACCAACTGTCTCCTGTTTCGTTTCCATGTTTCTGCTTTCCTCTTCGAGTTCATGTTCTGGAACGCTGAAGAAAAAAATTAATCCAAAATTACAGAATCAGCCATGCAGCCCTTTCATTTTTTCCGTCTACAATACCATTCAAATGTTCTGGGTCAGTAAGTTTGTTTTTTTTTTGAAGAAGAAGAAATTCATTAAGCAAGTAAGAATTAAATTTAAACTGCTGAAAAGACAGATCAAAGAATGCAGAAAAAAAAGAATAATGGATTCCATAAAAATAAAGCAGCACAACTGTTTTCAATGTTGATAATGATAAGAAAAGTTTCTTGAGCAGAAAATCAGGACATTAGAATGATTTATGAATGATCATGCGTCTTTGAAGACAGGAGTTATGGACAGTGATAAGTCTTACTGAAGTCGCTGGGAAGGCTGTGATTAAGGTTTCTGTAGAACTCTGTGCGGTGAGCTTTCTTCAGACCAGTGCATAGGCCAAAATCAGACAACTTCACGTGGCCCTGAAAGAGCAAAATGATGTTGTGAATGAGAAACACTCATAAGATCAAGGCTATGTGACCTACTAGGCTGTTAGATTGAGCTTTAAAGGGGGGGTATAATGCCATTTCACGCATGTTGAGTTATTTACACTGTTAAAAAGTTGGCCAAAGTTTCAAAAAACGATCTGGATGTAGAGGATGGCGCTTCATGACGTCATGAAGAATGGAGCTCCTTGTATGGGCACTTCTCCAGGAAGAACGCACCCACGCACACATCAACCAGAGCGAGAACAAGAGCATGCCCATAAATGCGCTTCATTCAGCAGCACTGCACGGGACTCACTCGGGAAGAATGTCTCCAAAGTGTGCTTTTGGTTGTAAGGGAAAAATAACCTTTGTTCAGCTTCCCAAAGAACGAAGCATTACGTAAACAGTGGATGCAGTTTGTTTTTCCGGGTAAGCAAAGGAGTTTTGCAAGTGTGTTTGTTGACGAACGTTTTATAAACAAGGCCCAGTTCAACTATGGATTTGCACATTGTTTGATACTGAAAGATGGAGCGATCCCAGCGATAAAAGATCCCGGTCATGATTCGGAATTGCAGACGGTAAGTAAAACAGCATCAAACGTCTTGTCACTCTTTAGCTTTGCCCACGGTGCACCTCCAGGAGCTTGGCTGTTTTCGGAGAGAATAGTAAAGCTGTATCTTTCTTTTATAAATATGAGAAAAATAAAGACTCTTTGGAGATCAGTAGGATGCAATACTACTTTATAGGTACTCAAGATTAACATGAGATTGGGTGAAAATGTGTGTTATATGCCCCCTTTAATGTTTCATGGTCACGTCAGAGTTGCCTATAGGGAGATCGCAAGACAATACTAAAAAAAATGTTTCTACAGTATCAGTAGTACTAAGTGAAATGTAACTGGTATTATTAATGGTATTCATAATTTAATATTGTGACAAACACCTAAATACAACCCGAATTCCAGAAATGTTAGGACTTTTTAAAAATGTGAATAAAATTAAAACTAAAAGACTTTCAAATCACATGAGCCAATATTTTATTCACAATATAACATAGAGAACATAACAAATGTTTAAACTTTTTACAATTTTATCCACTAAATGAGCTCATTTAAAAGTTGATGCCTGAAACAGGTCTCAAAAAAGTTGGCACAGGGGCAACAAAGGGCTGAAAATGCAAGAAATTTGAACAGATTCAGATGGGAGAACATCTAGCAACTAATTAAGTTAATTGACATCAGGTCTGTAACATGATTAGCTATAAAAGGGATGTCTTAAAGAGGCAGCGTCTCTCAGAAGTAAAGATGGGCAGAGGTTCTCCAATCTGTGAAAGAATGCGTAAAAAGATTGTGGAATACTTGATTGTGACGTTCCTCAACGTCAAATTGCAAAGGCTTTGCAAATCTCATCATCTACAGTGCATAACATCATCAAAAGATTCAGAGAAACTGGAGAAATCTCTGTGCGTAAGGGACAAGGCCGAAGACCTTTGTTGGATGCCCGTGGTCTTCGGGCCCTCAGACGACACTGCATCACTCATCGGCATGATTCTGTCATTGACATTACTAAATGGGCCCAGGAATACTTCCAGAAACCACTGTCGGTAAACACAATCCGCCGTGCCATCTGCAGATGCCAACTAAAGCTCTATCATGCAAAAAGGAAGCCATATGTGAACATGGTCCAGAAGTGCCGTCGTGTCCTGTGAACCAAGGCTCATTTAAAATTGACTGTTTCAAAGTGAAAAAGTGTTCTATGGTCAGACGAGTCCAAATTTGAAACTCTTGTTGGAAATCACGGACTATAACTCCGGGCTATAGAGGGAGACCTTCCAGTGTGTTATCAGTGTTCAGTTCAAAAGCCAGCATCTCTGATGGTATGGGTGTGCATAAGTGCATACGGTATGGACAGCTTGCATGTTTTGGAAGACACTGTGAATGCTGAAAGGTGTATATAAAGGTTTTAGACCAACATATGCTCCCCTCCAGACGACGTCTATTTCAGGGAAGGCCTTGTGTATTTCAGCAGGACAATGCAAAACCACATACTGCAGCTATTACAAGTAGTAGAAGAGTCCGGGTGCTGAACTGGCCTGCCTGCAGTCCAGATCTTTCACCTCAGGCAAGAATGGGACCAAATTCCAACACCAAAACTCCAGAAACTCATAACCTCGATGCCCAGACGTCTTCAAACTGTTTTGAAAAGAAGAGGAGATGCTACACCATGGTAAACATGCCCCCGTCCCAACTATTTTGAGACCTGTAGCAGGCATCAAATTTGAAATGAGCTCATTTTGTGCATTAAAAATTCAAATTTGCTCAGTTTAAACATTTGTTATCCATGTTCTATTGTGAATACAATATTGGCTCATGTGATTTGAAATTCTTTTAGTTTTAATTTTATTAAAATTTAAAAAACGTCCCAACATTTCCGGAATTCGGGTTGTAGTTCTAAACAATGTCCTACTTCAAAAACACTTTATTTTGCTACAGATAATTGATTTTGATGATTCTATTCAAGTACTGTTTAATGTTTTTACCCTGGAGTCCAGCAGGAGATTGTCTGGTTTGATGTCTCTGTGGATGAAGCTCATCTGGTGAATGGAGTCAATAGCCAGCACAGTCTCAGCAATATAAAACTGTGTGGCCTCCTCCGTTAAAGTGTCTTTCTTCATCAGTAGAGTCATCATATCACCTGGGCAATCACACACATGCATATATCAGTCATCCTTTGGAGTGGCTTTAGTACCATCTTTTTGATTGTAAAGGTTTCTTTGAAATGATCTGACATCCTGCACTCACCTCCAGGCAGAAACTCCATGATGAGGTAGAGGTTCATCTTATCCTGAAAGCTGTAGAACATCTTCACCACCCACAGACTATCTGCCTCTACAAGGATGTCCCTTTCTGCTCGAATATGGCCAACCTTGAACAGAAAACAGAGACCCGTTAACAAGACAAAGAACCTTAAATGTCACGTGTGGTCATACGCGACTCCATCAGTGAAGACTCACCTGTTCTTTCTCAAGCATATCAGCCTTACGCAAGATTTTCATGGCATAAACGTGTCCTGTGTCCTTCTTCTGAACTAACCGCACCTAGAGAAATAAAGTTTTCTTTAAGGATTTTAAATGTGCTAAAATATCACAAAATACACTACCGTTCTGATTTTTTGTTGTCGTTTATGAAAAAGTATTTTATGGTCACCAAAGCTGCATTTATATCCAGTAAAAACAGTAATATTGTAAAATACTGTTACAATTTAAAACAACTGTTTTCCATTTTAATATTGAAAAAATATATATAATGGTAGAGTACATACAATACACAAACTGCCTCACAGCTAACATGTACATGCAAAAAACAACTAAATTTTTTTAATTCATGAGGTCTTTAACAGAAAGAAACTCATACCTCTCCGAAAGCTCCTCGGCCAATCACTTTGAGTGACTCAAAGTCCTCTAATCCAAGCCGTGTTCGCTTGAGACGAAGAAACTCAGTCTCTTTCCTAGCATGCTCAGACCGCCGGAGACCCTTCTGCGGGACCAGAAAAAGCAGAAATGAAATCGACCGATCACAAGAAATTATATTCTGAACTTCTGTGTGTTTTAATATTTAACAAAACCACCAGTATCTAGATCAAGATGTTTGTAAATGTAAGCAAGGAAATACTTTCAGAAAAAAATACCAGTATTTCAGAAACACTCACCTCTTCATCACCTAGTCCCTCTTGATCCATGACCTTCTCCAATTTTTGCTGCCTGTAACAGATAAAGGATAACTTTTAGACATGTGATGAAACACTAGCACCAAGAGGCAGAATTGCTTCATCACTCCAATGAAAGGTGTGGTCGCCTAATCTGACATCATTTCAAGAGGGACGGAACAGACCGTCTAAAAGGGCCCCTGGAATTTGGGAGGTTCTTAAAGAAACAATGGGTGATAATGACAGATAGTCAATTCTGTAATTCTGCCAAACCTGTTCACTAGCGAAAGTTTAAAAACTACATATTTCTCACTTATTTTAACCAGCACATGGGCTACAACAAATGTTCAATTAAAAAAATGGTAAAGTCTATATACCTAAAAATAACATTAAAGCAAAGAAAAAGTCTTTTGCCTTTTTGGGTCTCACCTCATTTCCCTTTCCTCATGCTGTGATATCAGGTTGCTATAAAAATTCTCCAGCGTCACTTTGGCCATGGTGACCCTTTCCTTAGTGTGGTTGCTCATCGAGGAGCAGGACGTCTGACTTGTCATCGCCATGGTTAACTGGAGAGGAAAACCATGTTGCATCAGAATGGACAAAATTAGACATGTTTATAACTCCAAAAAGGATACAAAATAGTCCAGGTTGTTTTGACACTTCACAAGTCAGAGCTTTGAATCTGATATGGTTAGATACAATGCCTACCTGTGTTTAATCTATGAGAGAGGTTTTTAATTTTTCAGATGCCACGAAGCCCCAAATACCACCATTCTTTCCATTACCAGCTTCCCAGGTGCTTCTTGTGCAGGTATTCAGTGAAAGGCAGCATTTAACATTAGCTACAACATTTACACTGCAAGCCACAGTCCTTTAACACTCAATCTTCCACTTCCCAGAAACTCCACGCCTGTACGGTCTGACTGGCCCTTTGTTGCGCCGTGGCCAAAACAAGCATTAAATACCGGCTGAAGACGTACATTTGCGTTACTCTGCTTGGAAATTCAAACAAACGCTATATTTGTCATCTGACTCAACTTCCACGGCTGATGTCACTGAGACTGAGGTCTGGAAGAGAGCGTTTGCAGACAGCAAGGGGAATTTTACTCTGAATAAATCGTCTGACTAATAAAAAGAAATGAAACCAAGTTGACAACGAAAATCATAATGCCATAAACATGCCATCTGATGAACAACACTTAATACTAATAAAGTCCATCATGGAGAAACACGACAGACAGAAAAACGGAAAAAAACAAACAACGTAAACACGCACACTAAAGTTTGTCAGTGCAAACCCACGCTTTTAGTGGGTTTGTTTATTTAACATTTATGCAGTTTTACAAGCAATATCAAGGCTAATAAATTCTTATAATTCTAATAATTGCAGGCCTAAAGAGAACGTATGGAAAGTAAAAACACAAGAACTATTCTCAGTTAGTAAGACTGTCAGTCTGCTAGCAGCAGCCGCTAACGTTAACTGTCTGTTCAGACTCATCTGCTCTCATAGCAAAGTGTGAAACGGCTGAGATACAGCTTAATTTCCAATAAGAGCTCAAGCGACTTCGGCAAAGTATAAACAACTACCGAAAACAAACTATTACTTACTTGTAAACTATGTGTTTGTTTGAAATAATACTTGTTTGCTTACCTTCCACTCGACCTCAAACTGACTTGAGCTAGTGGACGACGACGGACATTATTTCCTTCTTCCGGGTTTGTGCTTGAGTGGAAAAGGGAACAAAACAAAAGTCCCCTTTCTTCTTCTTCTTCTTCTTTGAGGTTTAACGGCGGCTTGCATCCAAGAGCGTTGCATTACCGCCACCTTCTGGATTATTCTCCTGCAATGTTATTCCATTTTATTTCCTCCAGCTTGTTTTCCACAATCATATTTTCCTCATCAAACCCGTTCTACTTAAGAAATTACAAATATTTTTCCTGCTTTGTCTAATCACCCCACTTTGCAGTATATCTTTAATACCTGTCCCTACCAACCCATCTCTTCTTAATTCTTCCATCATATTTCTCCTCTGATCTTCATAACTTCTGCAACTTAAAAGAACATGTTCTATGGTTTCTAATGTCTGACAATATTCACAAAAACCAGTAGGATGCTTCCCTATAATGTGTAATGTACTAAGTCCCCTTTCTGTCGTCTAAAATGTAATTTCTAAAATTAGATAAATTTGATCAACCTTTCTTTGATTAATTGACCTACTGAAAAAAATTATCCTTCATTTCATTCATACATTTTTATACAAAAACCAAATTTGGGTATGCCTGCACACTGATATATATTTTTTTATGTTTTATTGAAATGTAAAACAAGTACCCATTTTGTGAGTAAAACAACAACAACAAAAGAAAGTTCTGTTTATATGGTCAAAGAATAAAATCGAAGAAAAATTAATGATTTTTATAAGGGACACCAGGGCTAGTTGTCACTAGGGATATGCCGGTATCAAATTTTCATGTTGCAATTAATTGAAAATGCAATCAAAATTCTGAATAATTTGTAATATATAATTATTCACGGTATTTAGAAGTGCCCACGATAACAATATCGTGCATACTCATTACCATGATATATCGCATTACCGAATACCGGCACAAGTCTAGTTGTCACACTAAATATGTCTTTGTAAAATGTATTATTATTAAGATAAGTTCTTGACAAAAACATAAAATGTTAGGGTTAGGGTTAGTTGTACAAAAATGTACAAAAACAATTATAGGCTTTATTAGCTCAATTTAAAGAGTAAAATGAAGAGATGAATTAAAGTTATTTTGTAATTAAAGTTGTAAAAAAGTACTTTCAGTATAGAACAATTTATTTTCATTTACAAATCTCAATTTAGATGCAAAAAAAAGTATAGAATTTCTGTAATTTACAAATTATTGTCATTTACAAACTTGCTTTGCAAAAAGAAACAATTTCCGGAACTACTACTTGTCTTTTATTTACAAGTTTCAACTTATAATACAAAAATAAAAGAATGCACAGAAATTACTGTGCTTCATTTACAAATAAAGTAAGCACAGTATTTAAAAAAAATTTAACATTTAAAAATAAATGACAAAATTAATGTACAGAACAACTTTTTTTCATTTTTAAGTTTCCCAGTAGCTCCATTTTCTCCAGAACTGACCTAAAAGAAGAGAAAAAGGAAAGACTTATGAAAAATATTAAGACAGGGCTGCAATCTTAAGGTTAGAAAATATGACACAGCACATGCATACAAAATACTCCAGAAATCATATTTCTAGATCATCAAGTTTGCCTAAAACATTTGTGGACATATCTTGCATGACAGCACTACAGAAAAAAATAAGAAATAAATAAATAAAAATAAAAATACATAATTATAATTAATAGAAATGTATAAATGTATAACATAATAAAACACATGTAACAGCTTGCCACAACCTGACTCTTGTCGTGTCAGCATATAGTTTTACTGAGTTCACTTATTTGTCCAACAGATAAGTTACTACAAGATATGGTGATATTGGAATTTTAGTTTCGAGCTCAGAATTCACATATTCTGGATTAAGGGGGTTCAATTTAACACATCACCATCCGCAGGCGCTGTTGTACAAAGAAGTCTGGACACTAGATCAGCATCCAAACCACAACATGCTAGTGACCTGTGGTACTGGGTGACCAGATCATCATGACAATTCAACACACACTCGGACAGGTGAGGTACAGCAGCAGAACTTTACACTCTCAGAAAAAAGGTACAAAGGCTTGGGTGGTACCCTTTCAAAAGGTACATTTAAAGAGTACAATATTAGTACCCCGAAGGTAAATATTAATACCTAAAGTGTACATATCAATACCTAAATATGTACATATCAGTGTACATTTCAGTAAATGATATGTATACATATCAGTACCCAAATGTTAGTACTTTTTAAGAGGGTAGCTACCACCCCAGTGACAGCTTTTGTAAAAGTGTACCAGTATGACAAATTACATTTACATTTAAATATTAGATGTGTGCTTCTTATTATGCTAATGAGAGAAGTCTGCTTTTAGCAAATTTAACATGTCAAGAAAGTTGTGCAAATGCAAACTTCTAGGTTTCAAATCGGTTTCAAGGGGGAACCTGGATCAATTACCATACACCCTTTTTTATCTGTCTATGTTAGGTTACAGCAAAAAGTAATATACTACTGTAATATTATTACTTTTGTAATGCGTTACTCCCAACACTGTAGATGACAGTCTACATAAGAACTGCATGGGATAATTAAAATATCACCTTTCTCGGCATGAAGAACTTTGAGTTTAAAAGGCACAATAGCTTGAAAACAATTAAATACAAATAGGTAAACAAAAGAACTAGTGAAGAGGTGCTTTTGGGGATTCTGACTAGACGCCTTAAAGGGTGATGACTGAAAAGTTACAGAGAGCATTTTTCAGTCTCTTCTACAACCCTACTGTTTGTCTGCTAAATGCTAAGTAAATGAGCTCCCTTGAAATTCCTGGCCAGAAGCGTGATATTCCTTTGCTGTTCTGCCTTACAAAGCCAAAACAGTAAAAATGCAACAGAAGAGGTGTGTCTCAATTCACATATTTATGCACTATTCTATACTATGAATAGTGTAAGTAGTATGCTCACAATGAAAATTTAGAAAAAAAATCTCATTCCTGGTCTGGATGATGCCCTTAATTAAACAGAGAACATGGCCCATTTCTTTCTCCCAATCAAGAATCAAGAATCAAGAATCAAATGCCTTCATAATGAGGTTTTGTCTGATTTTGCTCACTTCTTGGCTGTAGGTATGTACACACAAAGGGAAAGAAAGAGAAGTGAGATTCAGAACAACTGACTTGAGAAGCGGGCGGGACAAACTGGATGTCCCGCTCTTTTTTAGAATTGAAGGTGTGGCTTAAAACTTCCCTTACTAAATTCTACCATCTTTCTCTCTTTCAAGTTCTCTGTCTCTCCCTTTCACTCCATCTGTCTGTATTAGATGATATACTCAAGAACCATCTAGGAGTATCAAACCATAATTATTCTCTTTTTATATACGGAAGATGGAAGATCTTTTTGTTCCCTACATTGAAGATTTTGAATTAAAGTATCAAAAGGTAAGAAAACTACATTATCTCTCAAATATTCTCTCAGCAGTATGTCAGTACAAACAACATAGTGGACAGTTGTCTAATGGTTTCTTTATATAGAGTCACTAGTTAATAATTAACTAGTTAATTTGTTTCTTGATTAATTGTTAGCACCATTCATGAGATATTCTCTGAGAAGGAAGTAGAAAGACAATGTGGCCATCTATATAGCCGAAAGCAGCAATAATTCATGACAGAAGCAGCTCAGAGAACAATCACACAATTGTCTCTAGGTTCACATGGATCTGTACACTGTTTCTCCATTTAATCATAGTAGAATTATTGTATATTTCTCATACAGTATAATTGTAATGGCTGCTGTTGTACAGACTACCATGCATATACAGTATATCTAGATTCTAAAATAGACTTAAATGTGAATGTCCCTTGTTTACAGTGGCACTTGGTTGATATGGATTATGAATTGGCATATTTATCATATTTATAGCATTTTCTCGCTCTTATACTCAAATACTCACACACAAACTTCAGATTCACAGGATTCACAGGAGATGTAGACAGGATGTGGGGTGAATAGAGATTGAAGTGATGGAATAAGATTGAATATTATACAATCCACCACATTTCCATGCAGCGGTTTTATTTTTCACATATATTCAGAGCTTCAAAAGCCACTTCACTGGTTTAAAATGCGTCATACCTGTAGGATTTCATTTCCACTTTGGCATAAAGGTGTTTAATGTCAACAGTACGTAATGGCATTTCTTGAAGAGTCTGTTCTTGTGAGATATCACAGAGTTTATCTTGTGTTGGATCACTGATATTGTTCTACTGAATTTCTCAGAATTTGACATGTCTTAGGCGAGTTACCAGAAAATAACAATAGATTATGTTTCCTCCAACATAATAAGTATAGACCATTAGACTTTATAACATCTAGTGTTTTGAGTCCTATGTAAAGCTTTGTTTTACCCACAAGGCATTACAACAATAGCTTGCTGTGAGTGAGGCCCACATGTGTTATATATGCTAGTTCCTGTCAAGATGCTAGTCTTTGTGTGAGAACATCCTGTTTGATGATGATAAACACACAACATTTTTAATATCAATCTTTTTATTATAGCTAAAAGTAAACACTTGTGACCAAATGGCCACGTGTCTGCAAACACTGGCATAATGCCTTGAGTGTGTGTGTGTGTGTGTGAATACTGTCTTTCATACTTTGCCTTTGTTTTCTTTATTACTCCTTTAAAACGTATACTTTTGCTGTCCTTAAATGGATTTACAGTACATGTATCAGAATTACGTCTTGTGCTACGTGGTGTATAGTCTCGGTGAAGATTGCTGGCCTTTAATACAGTAGCTGTATTTGGTAATTCTGCGTCATGCATGTCTTTGAAACCACAATATACATGACAACATGACGTCCAATCAAGCATTACTGAACATTAATACATATGCTGTTTTCATTAGCCTATTGACATGACAATCACTGTGAATATGCATATTTTCACTAATGCATTATTGTATGCTATTAAGTTTAAAATGAAACATTTTGAAACAAAAACAAATATTGAACAACAGTAAATAAAGAATGAAGTCAACAATACTTTTATAAGTATCATTTCAATTCCTGCCAAACCCATG